GAGAGAGAGGGGGGCAGAGGGAGGGGAGAGAGGGGGGCAGAGGGAGGGGAGAGAGAGGGGCAGAGGGAGGGGAGAGAGGGAGGCAGAGAGAGGGAGGGGGAGAGAGGGAGGTGGATAGAGAGGGGGAGGGAGGAGGAGAGAGAGAGGCAGAGAGAGACGCGCAAACGCCTCTAAATGTCGAGCAGCAGGCGTCAAGGGTCGGGTTCAGACACCGCGACTTCCTGCACACCAGGCGAGGGAATTAACATCCCGCCACCACGGCACCCCCAAATAAACTCCCTCCAACGAAACCATTTCATAGCGCAAATTACATCTCACCGCGCATAAATATTGATAATTCGGCCGATAATTACCGGGGCAATAATCTCCACTTCGCGTGGCCTCCTGTAATCGAGAAAGTGCTGCGCTGAAATCACTCCCCACGCGGGCCTTGCCTGCCTGCCTGCCTGGGGAGCGGTGGCGCAGCAATTAGCGTGCCGTTGTCTGCCTTCACAGGGTTGCTAGCAGCTCGCTATCAGCACTTGCCCCAACAGACTGCCCAGGCTATACGGGGGATCTTTGTCTTTGTGCGCGAACACCGGCGAACCGAGTTCGATTCCCCGCTCACGGCCACCAATACCACCGGCGACGATTATCTGAACCGGTCCTGGGGCTCCCCTGAGATCGACTCAGCCTCAAATGAGTACCGAGTGCGGTGTGTAGTCAACATCGCCACTGGGGAGACAAAGGCGGCCGGGCGTGGTGCTGGCCACCCACCCACGTTGTGTGCCGTTCCGGCCTTCATAGGTGCTACTCGCTAACATCACTTGTCTCTACAGTCTGTTAAGGCTACACGGGGGATCTTTGTCTTTGTTGTGGCATTGCGCTGACACAGGTGAAGCGGAATAATTTTTATTTTTATCTCTAAACAAATCAGGTCTGGCAAGTGTTGTGTGTGGGGTCAGGGGTCAATGTTTACAAAACTGATCGCAAACACAGGCCCATCACCACCAACACCACCACACCACTACCACCACACCCGCATCACCACCACACTCGCATCAGACACCACAGCCACATCACCACCATCACCACCTCACCTCCAGCACTTAAACCACACCCACATCATCACCACCGCCACAACCCGATCACAACCACCACATCACCACCACACCCATATCACCATCACCACCACCATCATACCCTTATCAACGCCACACCTCCATCGCCACGGCAACATCCACATCACGACCAGACCATACCAACGTATGAACGACCCAATGCCCAATCCACAAAGTCGAAGGGAGGCATCACAGCGGTACACTCCGCTGCGCCAGACGTGGTCATCTGTCTTTTTTGACCACGTGAATGTGAAATTGTCGTCGTTGCATCTACATCAGCGGCTATACGAAAGAATAAGATCACCGCCCCATCTCCAGCAAACACCGTCACCAACGCACCGTCACCAACGCAGCAGTTTAACACGTAGGCCTTTCGCGACCAATATTATTCATAATAAAGGTTTTTGGGTTAGATCGCGTGAGCATAAATGTGCCGAAACCCTCCACCACCCGACACGCAAACAAAATGCCAAACTGTTACTACTGCAGCCCACAGCATTTACAATTCGAGGAGTACGACGTTTCGCTGGTAAATTACATCCAAAATCATCGGGCGATTTGACAGAATAGTAAAGCCATTCACCTGCTCCAGGTCTTAAATAGAGCAGCAGGATGACGTCATCACCTGAACCCAATCAGATGCAGATATCAGAGGACGGGGGGCTATTGTATTCATATAATAGGTTAGTAACTAGTATGTGTTTCCTCTATGAGGAATTATAATTGTAATATGTATTATTTCATAATACGCTTCCAGGCCGCACTTAGCATGGAGTTGTCAGAGGGGTTATATCTAGATTTGAAGCTTTCGTGACTGCAAGGATTCATATTCTTAGTTTTTTTCGGTAAAGTCACGTAGGTAAAAAATTACAATTAATAAAAGTAAAATAAAATATATATACAAGGACTGTTTTCTTGGAATTTATCTTACTTGATACAGCTATCGTGCTGTGACGGTTCCACCTGAAGACGGAAGCTTGTGTTGCCTCCGAAACGTGCTTTTTATTTTACTTTTATAAATTTAAATTTTTTACCGACGTGACTTTACCGAAAAAACCTAAGAATAGAGGGGTTAACGTTATGTTTTATTTCTCTCAATTTCAATGGAGTCTCTAATTAGTCTTGGCCAGTAATAATTCGTTTTACACAACACTTCAACGTTGTCAAAATCAATTGAGTGTCCTTGTTGGCGACCATTTTCTGCAATTGCCGACAGTTGTGTTTGAGAGTATTTCATATTTTTTTGGTGTTCTTTTAATCTTACGCTATTAATGTTACATCCCGTCTGTCCAATATAGCATCTGCCACATACGCAATTTAATCCGATACACACCTTCTGTTGACAACTTAGGCAATTCACCTTTAGTACAAGATACTAGTTTAAAAATGTTGTGTCCCGTACCAAATCTTACTTGAATGTTTTGCTTTTGCAAAACTCGAACTAATTTGTTAGTTACCGCGATATTTGGTATTTTAATTGTTTCATAATCTGATCGCTTTCAGCAGTATTGCTGTTCGATCTTGGTTTGGCATTGAAACTCTGTTAATTTGAGCATTATTGTAGCCATCCAATCGTAACGCTTCTTTAACATGTTTAATCTCGCTCCTTAGACTTTCACCATCTGACACTGTTTTTGCCCGATGTATGAGCGTCTTGATGAGAGAGGATTTCTGTGCTGGGTGATGATGCGAATCTGCCTTCAGATATGCATCAGTGTACGTTCCCATTTCGGTAGACGCTGTCTGTTATTTTACCATTTAGGCTGCGTCCAAGCCAAATATCACCATCCACACCACACAAAACCACACCACACGCCGAGAGAGGGAGACTGGGTGGGGAGTGAGTTTGTGAGTCAGTGGGTTTGATTCGTGAGTGGATGGATAGGTGGGTGGGTGAAATTAGTGGGTGCCGTGAGTGGTGGGTGGGTCAGTGGTAGAGTGGGTGGGTAATTGGATGAGTGGGTGGACATGTGGATGAGTGGGTGGGTCGGTCGCAGAATGGTTGGGTAGGTGGATGAGTGGGTGGGCGGGCGAGTGTATGGGTTGGTGGCTGGGTGGATTCATGAGTGAGTGAAGTGGGTGAGTGGTTAAGTGGGTGGTTAGGTGGATGGGTGGGTGAGTGGGTGGATTAATGAGTGGCTAGGTGGGTAAGGGGTGTCCGTGACTCGACGAGAAGTGAAACTCTTCACCACTTTGTGGTCAATGTTCTCTGGATGCGCGGATGGACATGGACACATACGCGCTGTGTCATCGTTTTTCCTTGTATCGCGAGCTCCCTTCATAGCAGTCGGGGTCACACCCAGAGCTTCATACCCCTGCAACTCATCACGGGAATCTCCCCCCCCCGCCCCCCACCAGTTCAGAGACCCCCCCCACCGCCACACCAGAACGCGAGGGGCCCAAGCTACGCAGGCAAAGTTGCGAGCGGATGAATGCTCACATCAGGGAACTTACTCTCCCAGGCGAATCGTGTCAAGGACGTTTGCACCGGATGGATACGTTCGCACGTTTTCAAGCAGCTCTTCCTTCACAAGCGCAGTTGCTCGACAGTTGTGCATTTTAGTGTGTGTGTGTGGGTGTCTGTGTCCGTGTGTGTGCCGTAGTGTTCTTCGTGCTTTCGGAGTCCCCTGACCCTTTGCTCACGATCATTAAGGACCTTCATAATGGTGAGCGGGCCCGGGTAAAACTACGTGGCCGGGAGTCAAAGCCATTCCCTGTTCACCTTGGGGTGCGACAGGGATGTCCTCTGGCTCCCACATTACTTAACATCTATTTCGACCACGTAGTTCGTGAAGCCTTCAATAGCTGTACCGGAGGAATTCCCATTTGGTACAGATACAATGGGAGGCTGATCGATGCTCGGGTGCGGTCAAGGGATGGCTCCCTATTGGTCAACCATGTTATGTATGCCGATAATCTGGTAATTGCTGCTCACTCAGAGGAGTTGGAGGCGCTGCTGCTCTCTCTCTGTGAGTCGTCCTCTCTGTCTTTCTCTGAGTCCCCCCCCCCCTCTCTCTTTCTCTGAGTCGTCCTCTCTCTGTGAGTCCTCTCTCTCTCTGAGTCGTCCTCTCTCTCTGAGTCGTCCTCTCTCTGAGTCGTCCTCTCTTCCTCTGTCTCTATGACAGCGGACGAACACATTGCACGGTCGCGGTGTCCGTAGTGAGGTCACAGTGTCCGTAGTGAGGTCACAGTGTCCGTAGTGAGGTCACAGTGTCCGTAGTGAGGTCACAGTGTCCGTAGTGATGTCACAGTGTCTGTAGTGATGTCACAGTGTCCGTAGTGAAGTCACAATGTCGGTAGTGACGTCACAGTGTCCTTAGTGAAGTCACGGTGTCAGTCGTGATGTCACAGTGTCCATAGCGAGGTCACCGTGTCGGTAGCGAGGTCACCGTATTCATAGCGAGGTCACCGTGTCGGTAGTGAGGTCACCGTGTCCGTCGTGATCGTTCCCGTCGTGAGGCCACCGGTCCCACGCTGGGGGCCATCTCTGGGCCTCCCAGCTGGGAACCGCCCTGAGAGTCATCGAGACTCGGTGACGCGTCTCCTGGGTAAAATATTACAACGTCATGATGGAATGAAAAGGCCGGATTTACGTCTGCGCCAGAGGGGAGTTAAGGGCTGTGCGCTTCGGGGGTTTAGGGAATGCGTTGAGGGTTCGGGCCGCAGGATTTACGCCCTGCGAGGGCTGCGGGTTAGAATATCGACTCGGAGGGGCCCAACGTGCAAGGGGCTCGCGGGGCACGTGGATCTCCGTGCCGGCACGCGGGAGAGACGGGCTCGGCACGGGGGGGACGGCGTCGCCGGGATGCGGGGGCCACGTGCATCTCCCACCACCCTCCACCCCCCACCCCTCCTGACCAGTGATACCACCCCCACCCTCCCCACCACCTTTCTGTCCAGGTTCGGCTTTGTCGGGACCCCGAGTCGGTAGGAGGACGTGAAGAGGACGAGGAAGAGGAGGAGGAGGAGGTGGTGGCTGTAGGAGGGAGAGCGACACACGAGGGCACGCGGTGCAAGGAGGGAGAAGAATGAGAAGAGGAGGCGACGTCTACACCACGACGACGACGACGAGGAGGAGGAGGACTTGAGAGTAGCGAGGAGGAGCAGGAGGGTCGAGGATGGGCGACTCGCCGGGCGGCCTTGCCGTCTCCCTGTCGCCGCCGCCGCTAGAGCCGCCCGGCGGCCCCAACACCACCTCGGCGGCGGCGGCGGCGTGCGGCCCGGCGGGGCCGCTGGAGCCGGGCCGCTCCCTGGGCACGTCGCTCGCCTTCATGCTGCTCGGCACCGGCAGCAACCTGGCGGCGCTGCTCGTGGTGGGGCGCCTCTACCGGCGCTTCCGCTCGCGCTCGCGCGCCTCCTTCCTGGTGTTCGCCGGCGGGCTGGTGTTCACCGACATGAGCGGGCAGGTCATCACGGGCGCGCTGGTGGCGCGGGCCTACGGCGCGGGCCTCCGCTGGGAGGAGATCGACGACGGCGCCGGCTCGCTGTGCCGCTTCTTCGGCACGTGCATGGTGTTCTTCGGCCTGGCGCCGCTCGCCCTGGGCACGGCGATGGCGGCCGAGCGCTGCGTGGGCGTCTCCCTGCCGCTGCGCTTCGCCGCCCGCGTGACGGCACGCGGGGCCCGCCGGGCCGTGCTGGCCGCGTGGGCCGCCGTGCTGGCGCTGGCGGCGCTGCCCGCCCTCGGCGCCGGGGCCTACGTGCGCCACTTCCCCGGCTCGTGGTGCTTCGTGGACATGCGCGGACAGGCCGGCGGGGGCGGCCGGGCCGGGGGCAGCGGGTGGCCGGCGCTGGTGTCCGCGCTGCTCTTCTCGGCCGTGGGCCTGGCCTGCCTGGCCGCGTCCCTCGTGTGCAACACGGTCACCGTGGTGAACCTGGCCAGGGCCCGCCGGAGGCTGTGGTGCGGGGAGCGGCGCACGTCCGTCACGTCGGCGCGGAGGCCGCACGACGTGGAGATGGCGGTGCAGCTGGTGGCCATCATGCTCGTCGCCACCGTGTGCTGGAGCCCCTTCCTGGTGCGTGCTCGCACACGCTCACCATGACATTCACCACAACAATCACCACGACACTCACGACAACAATCACCACGCCACTCGCCTAAACGCTCACCACGATACTCACCATGACACTCACCATGACACTCACCACGACACTCACCACGACACTCACCTAAACGCTCACCCACTTGCCACGACACTCACCACGACACTCACCACGACACTCACCAGGACACTCACCTAATCGCTCGCCCACTCCCCACGACACTCACCACGACACTCACCTAAGTGCTCACCACGATACTCACCATGACACTCACCACGACACTCACCACAACACTCACCTAAACGCTCCCCATCACACTCACCCACAGGTTTTAACAGATGGAGATTAGTCCACAGTTGCTCTACCGCCTTTTCCAGGCGCGCCTCCACAGCGCTGGCTGATCACAGGCGTGCACCACCACCACCCTGTGACCTCTGGCTGTGACCCGTGACCCCGTGACCCTCGGGCGGGACCCCCGGCCGTGGTCACGTGGATTTTTCTCCGGGTCCGCCAGTTTTCCCCGAGAATCAGCGTCACGCGTTCAGAGTATTTGGCTGCTGCTATTAAGAAGTTAATTGCATCCGCAGCGTTTGGCACTGCTGCTGCTGCTGCATTGCCATGGTTGGCTTCATTGGCATTGTTGCTGCAGTGGCGTTGTTGTTGTTGTTGCATCCTCCCCCCCCCGCGCATCCCCAGCTCTCTCAGCCTCCCACTTCCAGCCCCGACCACTTCCCCCCCCCGTCCAGCTTCACGTCCCTCTCCTAACGTCCACGCAACGCTCCCCCTCCCCCTACCCCCCTCCCCTGCCCCTCCCCCCTCTCTTACCTATATAACCTCCTACCACGGCATCTCTCTCTCCCACTTCAGCAAAAACAAAACAATCATTGCTGCTGCTATCAATTTCCACGCGATGGAAATGAGCCCAGTGCGTTGAGCTATCATTCGTGATAGCCAGCTGGCTTCTAAAGAAGAGCCACACAGCTTAGTGGGGCTTACCTGGTAACATTTAAAATAGTTTTAGTTTAGTGACACTTGACCCCTGGCCGTGAGCCCTGGCCGTGACCCCTGGCCGTGACCCCGAGACCCCTGGCCGTGACCCCTGGCCTGACCCCTGGCCATGACGCCTGGCCGTGACCCCTGGCCGTGACCCCGTGTGCAGGTGACTGTCGCCATGATGGCATGGCGCTACTTCTGGGAGCCGGAGCCGGCACCGGACTGCGTGTTCCTTCGAAGCGCCGACAAGGAGCGGTTCCTTCTGCTGCTCAGATTCGCCTGCAGCAACCAGGTGCTCACCACCACCTCTCACCATCACCGCTCACCACCACTCACCACCACTCACCACCACTCAGCACAGGTGCTCACCACCACCACTCACCACCACTCACCACCACTCAGCACAGGGGCTTACCACCACCGCTCACCACCACTCACCACCACTCAGCACAGGGGCTCACCACCACTCAGCATAGGGGCTCACCACCACCGCTCACCACCACTCACCACCACTCACCACCACTCACCACCACTCAGCACAGGTGCTCACCACCACCGCTCACCACCACTTACCACCACTCAGCACAGGGGCTCACCACCACCCCTCACCACCACTCACCACCACTCAGCACAGGGGCTCACCACCACCACTCACCACCACTCACCACCACTCACCACCACTCATCACCACTCAGCACAGGGGCTTATTGTCACCACCGCTCACCACCACTCACTACCACTCAAGCAGGTGCTCACCACCACCGCTCACCACCACTCACCACCACTCAGCACAGGGGCTCACCACCACCACTCACCACCACTCACCACCACTCAGCACAGGGGCTTATTGTCACCACCGCCACCACCACTCACTACCTCTCAAGCAGGTGCTCACCACCACCGCTCACCACCACTCAGCACAGGCGCTCATTCTCACCACCACCACTCACCACCACTCAACTATTGGCTGATCATCACCACCGCTAACCACCACTCAGCACCACTCGGAACAGGAGCTCACCACTCACCACAACCACCGCTCGCCACCGCTCACCAACACTCTACCAGGTGCTCACCTTCACCACCAAGTAATTTGTTTAAAATATAAAATAAAGTTACGGCAACGGCGACAAATGTAAATCAGCGCAAAAAAATTAAACGCAACTGAGCCGTCATCACAAAGTGTTGGCGGTGCTGTCCGTTGCTGGCGCGCGACGTTCCGGGCCTTTGGGCCTCTGGCAGGGCCTTCGGGCCTTCTGGCCCGGTGATCAGCAGCCGTGCCGCTATCCAGGAAGGCGCTGGCCACAAATGACAGCCCGACGAAGTGGTTTATCACGTTGAAGTGTACCGCAGCTACCTTGCCTGGTATATACACACGTGTATCTAAATGTGGAGGGGAAAACCCGGAGGACCCGGAGAAAAATCCACGCGACCCAGAGGGAGAGAGGCACGCAAACTCCAAATACCCAGGCATGGTCAGCGTCGGGATCGAACCCGCGACCTCGTGCGTGCCAGGCGAGGTAGTGAACACCCCGCCACCGTGTACTCCACCGCAGGTGCTCGACCCGTGGGTGTACATCCTGCTCCGGCGAGCCGTCCTCCGGGCTCTGTGCGGCCTCCTGGGCCGCCGCCTGCCGTCGCCCCACAAGATGGGCTCGCTGCTCTCCAGCCTGCGCCGCAGCCTCTCGACGGAGCCCGCCCACAGGTCCTCCACCCGGAGCCCACGCAGCCCCCCGCGGGGGGCCGGCTGCCCCCCCTCAGAGAGTCTGTGGGGCTATGGAGGCCCCGGGCCAAGGCATCGCGCCACCACGGCGATGGTCGTCAACCCTGAGCTGCTGGAAGTGGACGAGGAGGAGGTGGTGGAGGGAGAGAAGAAGGAGGAAGGAACCATTGAGCCTCCTCAGCCAGGATCTCCTGGGGCCCGTGGGATGGGGGGCCCCAAACAGGAGGAACTGGGGGCCCACCCCGGGCAGGTGCCGCCGGCGCAGGGGACGCCGGGCGCAACGCCGGGCACCTGCAGGGACGAGGAAGCCGTCGGCCGGGGGTCGCGGTAAAGGAGGGAGACGGGACGATGGTGGAGAGGCGACAGTGAGGAAGGTCGCGGTGGGGAGGTCACGGTGAGGTCACGGTAAAGAGGTCACGGTGAGAAAGTGCCACTGTGTGGCAAGGTCAAGGTGAAAAAGGTCACGGCGAAGAGGTCACAGCCTCCGGGAGAGGAACTGTTGTCGTCGTTGGACGTGGAGTAGAGGCGCCCAGAAGATGGGAGCACGGCGCTGAGAGGGCCTGAGAGAAAGCCTGAGAGAGCCTGAGAAGGCCCGAGAAGGCCCGAGAGAAGGCCTGAGAGAGCCTGAGAAGGCCTGAGAGGGCCTGAGAGAGCCTGAGAAGGCCTGAGAGAGCCTGAGAAGACCTGAGAGGGCCTGAGAGAGCCTGAGAAGGCCTGAGAGAGCCTGAGAAGGCCTGAGAGGGCCTGAGAGAGCCTGAGAAGGCCTGAGAGAGCCTGAGAAGGCCTGAGAAGGCCTGGGAGAGCCTGATAGGATCTGAGAGGCCCTGAGAGGGCCTGAGAGGCCCTGAGAGGGCCTGAGAGGGCCTGAGAGGGCCTGAGAAGGCCCGAGAGAGGACCTGAGAGGGGGCCTGAGAGGCCTTGAGAAGGCCTGAGAGGGCCGTACGGGACTAAGGGAGGAGGTGCGGGGTGGGGAGGGTGGTTGGTTGGCTGAAGCACGTGATGGTCAATCAAACAATAACCCTGACCCTAACCAACCAGACGTGAGTACTTAGTGCGAGCCATAATCCTAACCAACTAGCTAACGAGACGCTGGTACTAGGTCTCCCCGTAACTTTAACCACCCAGGCACTCATAATGGCTCTAACCCTAACCAACTACTGTTGGACCATCCCTTCCACAGACCATATTCTTAACCCAATCACCCAGCCAGCCACTGGTTCTACCTCTACCCCTCACCCCGTCTGCTTATTTTCAGTTTCCGTGGTTACAGCGCCCCATGTACAACCTGGCCTGGCACAAGCACCGCAGCGGCATTACCGCTCAGCCATTTGCCGAACGGCCCCTTGCCGTTGTTGTTGTTGTTGTTACCGTTGTTGTTGTTGTTACCGTTGTTGTTACCGTTGTTGTGTTGACACGTAGTAGGGCTTTCGCGACCAAAATTATTCACAATAGAGGTGTTTTTGGTTTAGATCCTCGCAAGCATAAACGTGTCGTTAAACCCGCCACCACCCGACACAGCCAACCAGGAAGGTTTGTCGCGTAAAAAAAACGTGGCCAATTCATTGCTAGTTCAGCAATACTGGTGTGTTGGAGAGTTAAAGCCACAACATTATCACTTTGAGTCCCATGTGACCTATTTGCCAGTATCAGAGTATGAAAAATAATAATAGGTTTGATCCTTTGGCAATAAAACAGGTGGTGTTGAGATGTTCAAACACAAAATAGATGTTCACCCCGAGCTCCAAATGCTCTGATACGTGTGGCATTGCCTTTGCGCTGTTCGCCTTTTGGCGTTCTCTGGTCTGACACCGGTGGTGAGGCTAGGCCCTAAAGCAGGCTGCTGCCTCTGGTGTAGGCCAATCAGTCGCAAAGACAATGCCCTCTATTACACTGGTCAACACACTTTTTCTGGCATAAGGTATTCCAACGGTTTCAAGGTAATTTTGGGGTGCTGATTCCAAATCTGGCATCAGTTTTTGTCTATCACATCAGGTTTTTGAGATATTAAATATTTTCAATAAAAACTGCAGAAGAAAAATATTAAATAAATGTGGATATGTACATACAATGATATTATAAACACACTATCCTAAAAATACAGCACAATATTTTAACACTAAAGCAGTCACTGACTCGCAACAACTTGCAATCATAAGTGACAGAGTTAATTTCGGGTAAAATCAATGAAAATGGGGTATGCCGATAGCATAGAAATGACATGTGATAGAGCAAATCTGAGATCAGATTTGGAATCAGCACCCTGAAATTTAGTCTAAAACAGCTGCAAAAGTCCAGGCCAGAAAAAAATGTTTTTTTTTTGTTGACCACTGTTATCAGAGCGTGTGTGTTTGCATGTTCACCGCAACTACTGCTTGTAGTTACTGTCGACTCGATTCCTCGCAAAAGGTTTACAGTAATCCCTCGCCACTTCGCGATTCAAGTTTCGCGGCCTCAGTGCATCGCGGATTTTTAGAACTGATTTAAAGGCCTCATTATACCTGTGCAGTAACACCATCATCATCATCATTCATCATCACATTCGTCGAACTGCACAGGTCTGTCATCGTCGTCATTGTCGTCGTCATTACTGGAGTCAAGTCTCAAGATACTACTGTATCTTGAGAGAGAGAGAGAGAGTGAATGTATAATGTTAAGGTTTTATAATTAAATAGATTTAAGTAAAATATATATAAAGTATAAATATACATATTTTAAACATTCTGGTACCCACACACACATATACAGAAATTCCTAGGGGGCCAATCCTACTTCGCGGATTTTCATCTATCGCGAGAGGTTCCGGTCCCCATTAACCGCGATAAACGAGGGATCACTGTATTATCTATTTGGTGTTTGAACATCTTAACACCTCCTACTTTCTAGCCAGAAAGGGTTCAATCCTATTCTTGTTTTTCACAATTTGGGCACCATGACGTTTTGCCGGTTATTACATCGAGCACCAACAGGCGATTTTACCCCATGGTTGGCTGTGTCGGGTGGTGGCGGGTTTAACGACACATTTACACTTACACGATCTAACCCCGAAAAGCCTTCGCTATGTTGTTGTGTTGTTGGTGTTGTTGTTGTTGTGTTGTCGTTGTTGCTGCTGCCGTTGCGAAGTGAGCATGGGGGCGATGTGTGGATATGAAATCCTGTGTGTCGGCGGTTGGTTTTGCCGTGCGTTGTACGGCAAGTCCTTGATCAACGCGCTACTGCTGTTGCTGGTAGTAGTAGTCGTAGTAGTCGTTTGACACCTGGGAGGCTTTCGCGACCAATATGAATCATACTAGAGGCGTTTGGGTTTGATCGCGTAAGTACGATTCGGCCACAGTCGCCCGACGACAACGATGATGATGATGCTGGATGCAATCGGCAGCCAAACGCCGTGGGACTCAAATGACAAACGTCGTGGATTTGCTCTCCAACGCACAAAACCAAGCGGCAAGTGCTGAAGTGCTCGTAACTAATTGGCCACAAACCCTTACCGGTTGGCTGTGGCGGGTTCAACGACACATTTAAACTCGCGCGATCTGACCCACAAAATAAAACCCTGATTATGGATCGGAGTCGGTGCCCGCCTGAGCAGTGCCGCCCAAAATCGAACGGCGCGTTTAGCGATAAACAATGACGTAATAAGGATAATGTAACAATGATAACGTGATAACGATAACGTGATAACAAATAACGTGATCACGTAATAACAAATAAGGTAATTACGTAGTAACGAATACGTAATAATGATAACGTAACGGCGGTATAACGACACTCATTCCGCGTTATAACGGTGTGCGTTTCGCGTTATAACGTTGTGAATTTCGCGTTATAACGGTGTGCGTTTCGCGTTATAACGGTGTGCATTCCGCGTTATAACGGTGTGCGTTTCGCGTTATAACGGTGTGAATTTCGCGTTATAACGGTGTGCGTTTCGCGTTATAACGGTGTGCGTTTCGCGTTATAACGGTGTGCGTTTCGCGTTATAACGGCGCGCGTTTAGCGTTATAACGGCGCGCGTTTCCGCGTTGTGCACAAAGTGTTCCTTGATGTAAGAAGCAGCAGCTGTAGCAGCAGCAGCAGCAGCTGTAGCAGCAGCAGCAGGAGCAGCAGCAGCAGCAGCTGTAGCAGCAGCAGCAGGAGCAGCAGCAGCAGGAGCAGCAGCAGCAGCAGCAGGAGCACGTTATCGCGAATGTTCGTCCCTGGTGTGACCACCGGCGTGGTAGGCGACGACTCGCCGTGTTGGCAGCAGCGGGGCGACTGTGACGGACACAGCCCCTGGGTCCTCTGCCCAGACTCTGAGCAAGGGAGACACGCGGGGTGGTGGTGGTGACTGTGCTGGTGGTGGTGGTGACTGTGCTGGTGGTGGTGGTGACTGTGCTGGTGCTGGTGGTGACTGTGCTGGTGAGACGAGTCGAAGAGTTGTCGCAGCGCTCCCCGTGTGTGAGGGTGGGCGGTGTGGTCACAACGCTGCCCGGAGGTCGCGTCGCTCAGAACAACAGTTCCTTGCAACAACAGTTGCCAGTCCCCTGCAACAAGTTGCCAGCTCCCTGCAACAAGTTGCCAGTCACCTGTAACAAGTTGCCAGCTCCCTGCAACAAGTTGCCAGTCCCCTGTAACAAGTTGCCAGTCCCCTGCAACAAGTTGCCAGCTCCCTGCAACAAGTTGCCAGCTCCCTGCAACAAGTTGTCAGTCCCCTGCAACAAGTTGCCAGCTCCCTGCAACAAGTTGCCAGTCACCTGTAACAAGTTGCCAGCTCCCTACAACAAGTTGCCAGTCCCCTGTAACAAGTTGCCAGTCCCCTGCAACAAGTTGCCAGCTCCCTGCAACAAGTTGCCAGCTCCCTGCAACAAGTTGCCAGTCACCTGTAACAAGTTGCCAGCTCCCTACAACAAGTTGCCAGTCCCCTGTAACAAGTTGCCAGTCACCTGTAACAAGTTGCCAGGCCCCTGTAACAAGTTGCCAGCTCCCTGCAACAAGTTGCCAGTCACCTGTAACAAGTTGCCAGCTCCCTACAACAAGTTGCCAGCTCCCTGCAACAAGTTGCCAGTCCCCTGTAACAAGTTGCCAGCTCCCTACAACAAGTTGCCAGTCCCCTGCAACAAGTTGCCAGCTCCCTGCAACAAGTTGTCAGTCCCTTGCAACAAGTTGCCAGCTCCCTGCAACAAGTTGCCAGGCCCCTGTAACAAGTTGCCAGCTCCCTACAACAAGTTGCCAGTCCCCTGTAACAAGTTGCCAGCTCCCTACAACAAGTTGCCAGTCCCCTGCAACAAGTTGCCAGCTCCCTGCAACAAGTTGTCAGTCCCTTGCAACAAGTTGCCAGCTCCCTGCAACAAGTTGCCAGGCCCCTGTAACAAGTTGCCAGCTCCCTGCAACAAGTTGCCAGCTCCCTGCAACAAGTTGCCAGCTCCCTGCAACAAGTTGCCAGTCCCCTGTAACAAGTTGCCAGCTCCCTGCAACAAGTTGTCATTCCCCTGCAACAAGTTGCCAGCTCCCTGCAACAAGTTGCCAGTCCCCTGTAACAAGTTGCCAGCTCCCTGCAACAAGTTGCCAGCTCCCTGCAAAAAGTTGCCAGTCCCCTGCAACAAGTTGCCAGCTCCCTGCAACAAGTTGCAGCTCCCCGGGAACTGTTGACGGTTCCTGCCACGACGAGCGAGGTTTTTTTCTGTGTGCGCGTGCATCCTGTGCGTCGTTCATAACTCTGTCGTGTTTTATTTCTTTGTTGTTGTATTGTTGTTGTTGTGTTGTTGTTGTGTTTTGTGACGATGTTTGATCGTAACTCGTGACGGTGGTGTCCCCTTCCTTCCTTCCTTGTTGCCACTTTCGCGACGGCAGTTTTTGTTGTTGTTGTGTTGTTGTTGGGTTGTTGTTGGGTTGTTGTTGGCGTGTTGTTGTTGTGTGCCATGAGCTGGTCACCGCGTCGTTCCGCAGAGCTTGCTGGAGACCTGGGAGATATATGAAGGCGATGACGGTGGGAGTTGTGTTTTCAGGGTGCCGATGTGTAACTTGCGCACGTGTGTGTGTCTGTGGTGCTGCGTGTCTGTGCATATGTGTACGGGGGGAGGGGCGGGGAGCGGTGGCGCAGCGGTTAGCGCTACGCTGTTCTACGAACCCGGCGACCCGAGTTCGAATCCCGCTCACGGACGCCAACACCGGTGACGATTATCTGAACCGGTCCTGGGTCTCCCATAGGTCTACTCTGCGTAAAATGAGTACCTGGTGCGGTGTGTAGTAAACATCGCCACTGGGGAGACAAAGTCAACGGGGCGTGGTGCCGGCCTTCATAGGTGCCCGCTAACAGCCCTTGCCCCAACAGTCCGTTAAGGCTATACGGGGGAGCTTTGTCTTTGTTGTGGTGCTGGCCACCCACCCCCCCGTGCGCCGCGCTTCGTCGGTGCTGCTACTCGCTAACAGCACTTGCCCCATCCGCCTGCAAACGCTATATGGGGGATCTTTGTCGTGGGTGTGTCCGCGCGTAACACGAATGTGCCCTCCTCCCTTGTGCTGTTAAATGACAGCAAGTGGGCTACATCAACTGTGAAATAAACGAGAAACACATGGATAAATCGTTCACGTGGCGTGTGTGTTTGTGTGTGTTTGTGTGTGTTTGTGTGTCTGGGGGTGTGTGTGTGTGTGTGTCTGGGGGTGTGTGTGTCTGTGTGTGTGTGTCTGTGTGTGTGTCTGTGTGTGTTTGTGTGTGTGTCTGGGGGTGTGTGTGTCTGTGTGTATGTGTCTGTGTGTGTGTGTGTCTGTGTGTGTGTCTGTGTGTGTGTGTCTGGGGGTGTGTATGTCTGTGTGTGTGTGTCTGTGTGTGTGTGTCTGTGTGTCTGTGTGAGTGGGAGTGTGTCTGTGTGTCTGGGGGTGTCCGTACGTTTCCAGGAGCCTCTGTGTGAGTCATTTGCCAATTGCTGCCGAACCTCACAATCCGGTTTAATGGCAAGCGCAGTTCGAGCGAGTCCACGGATCTTCGTACGGAGCGAATGGGGGTCTCCGGCTACAGGCGCGGATTTACTTTTAAGACCATCTCTATGGAGTGCGTGAGCTAGTCTGTCACCCAAGTATTGACCACGGACGGTCGACTCAAAGACTGCAGGGCATCTCGAGTCGGGTTGGTTTTTTAAGTATTTAAACAACAAAAAATAAACCAAATGTGGCATTTCCAGATTGTTTTAGTGGTTTTAATGGCGGGGATATATTTTGGTGGGACCCTCTATTTCCCAGAACGATTTCCACACGCGGGGCTTTTTCCCAGAAATACTCGGACGGGATAAAGGTCAGGTCCAGTCCGGTTTGCTGACGGAATTAAACGTAAAACACAAATATATATTACACAACACGACCAAATGTTAAATTACGGCGGGGGGAAGGGTTTAATTTCCCACAGCTTCGCAACCAAACATAAATCCCTCCGTCTGACATTGTTTATCAATTTACTTCCGCTTGACCTGAAATCATAATGTTGGGAATGCAGGAGACGGTCCATAATGTGACTACCACCGAGTGAGATTGTGCCCAGGGAATTCGAGAATTCGGGCTCAGATCCACATGGAAGCAAGTCGAGTCGAAATTTGGTAACGGGGTTCTGGGCGATGTGGTGGTGGGGTTGGGGTGTGTGGGGGGCTGGGGGGTGTGTGGGGGGCTGGGGTGTGTGGGGGGCTGGGGTGTGTGGGGGGCTGGGGTGTGTGGGGGGCTGGGGGTGTGTGGGAGGCTGGGGGGGAGGGGTGTGGGGGTGTGTGGGGGGTTGGGGTGTGTGGGTCTGGTGGCTGGGGGTGTGTGGGGGGCTGGGGGTGTGTGGGGTGCTGGGGTGTGTGGGAGGTTGGGGGTGTGTGGGGGGCTGGGGGTGTGTGGGAGGCTGGGGTGTGTGGGGGGCTGGGGTGTGTGGGGGGCCGTGGGGGTACGGGGGGGCTGGGGGTGGTAACCCGAGTCCAAAGTCGAATGAGGCTGCGGTGCAGAGTCCTTGTGACTCATGGAAAATGCCCTAAGTCTGTGGGTCTCTTTGTAAGTCTTCACGTCTCTATGCAAGGCTACGTGTGTGTGTGTGTGCGCATGTAATGCTCCTACAGTCTGTTCAGGCTATATTGGGGATATTTGTGCGTAAGCTCGATTTTCCGCTCACGGCCAACATCAGTGACGAATATCTCAATCGGTTCCCGTGCTACCTAGGTCGACTCAGCCTAAAACGCGTATATCGTGCAGTGTGTAAACATCGACGCCGTGCGCCGTGTGCCACCGTGCCGGCCTTCATAGGTGCTACTCGCTAACAGCACTTGCCCCAGCAGTCTGTTAGAGGCTACACGGGAGATCTTTGTCTTTGTATCCTTCATAGGCGCTGCTGCTACTCGCTAACATCACTTGCCCCAGCAGTCTGTTAGAGGCTACACGGGGGATCTTTGTCTTTGTATCCTTCATAGGCAGTGCTGCTACTCGCTAACAGCACTTGCCCCAGCAGCCTGTTAGGACGACAAGGTTTGTCTTTGTGTGTGTTTAGTAAGTCGTACACGCCGCGTGTGTATGTTCTTGTGTGTGTTTGTGTTTATCCCGTGCTGCCCTTGTGCAACAACGAAACCACCGGGGGTCTCCCATCGGGAACCTGACCTCTGTGGGACCCTTTAGACCCCTGTGGGACAATCGGAGCTCTGTGGGGGACCGACTCGAAACCTCAGGGCGTGCGGTGTGTGTGTGTGCGTGCGTGCGGTGTGTGTGTGCGGTGTGTGTGTGTGTGTGTGCGTTCTGCCTGTGTGTGTGTTCTGTCTGTGTGTGTGTGCGTTCTGTGTGTGTGTGAGCGTAATGCCTGTGTGTGTGTGTGTGCATTCTGTGTGTGTGTGCGTTCAGTGTGTGTGTGTGCCTTGCGTGTACGCATGTATTCTCTGTGTGTGCTCTGTGTGTATGCTGTGTTCTGTGTGTGTGTACTGTGTGTTCTCTCTGCGTGTTATGTGTTCTGTGTGTTCTATGTGTTCTCTGTGTGTGTTATGTGTCTGTGTTCTGTGTGTGTGTTCTCTCTGCGTGTTATGTGTCTGTGTGTGTGTGTGCTCTGCGTGTTATCTGTGTGTGTGTGTTCTCTCTCTGCATGTTAAGTGTCTGTGTTCTGTGTGTGTGTGTTCTGTGTGTGCTCTGTGTGTGTGTTCTGTGTGTGTGTGTTCTCTCTTTGCGTGTTATGTGTGTGCGTTCTGTGTGTTCTGTGTGTGTGTGCTGTGTGTGTGTTCTGTGTGTGTGTTCTGTGTGTGTTTTCAGTACGTGTTCTGTGTGTGTACTCTCTGCGTGTTCTGTGTTCTCTGTGTGTGTGTGTTCTCTCTCTGCGTGTTATGTGTCTGTGTTCTGTGTGTATTCTCTGCG